ACTTTCTCAATTGACCTTGAACTTTAATTACTAGTCTGTTTATTGTTGGATGATGTCATCGCGAAATCTGATTGATCGTTTAATCCGATTAATTCAAGCGAGAGATTATCTAGGGTTGATAGTTTGATTTCTTAATAGAATTTATCAATCTGCTACACGTGAAATTATCCGTAAAAAATGTGACCTTTTCAAATATAATGCAAATCACGCATTGTTACTTTAACAAAAATGTTTTGCATATAAAAAAACGGTTATTTGACATTCACATCGTGTCAGTAGATATAATAAATGTTATCTATCACGATCGTTCGACGTTACACGCGTTCAATATATGGTTCACGTGGCAAGATTTAACAACGCATCGAGCAGTATTAATCAAATTTAAAGTAAAGGTTACTTGTACGTGAAGTCTCCGGGTAATGTCTATTGCGTCATATGGCTAATCTTATCTCTGAGCTCGAACGTTTGACAGGTCTTCTTGATGATAATTTAGAATAATGACGGTCAATTCTTTAATGATTCACCGTCGACAAGATTTCTTTTATTACAAAAGTCGAAGATACAATGTTAGATTATACGCCTTGGCTCGATGCTACATGGCTGTACTTAGTCAATAGTGGCGGTCATAGTCTAAGATCTAGCCAATGCGATTATGCTAACCGTTTGACTTATAGTACCTTCTGGCTTTTAAATGAAATGAAATGGGGTTTAACGTCCTACTGTTCTGCTCCTAACCTGGGGTAATGAAGACGGGCATACGCCATACAGTGTACTATGAGGGAAAATTTGCCCGGGCGGCGGCGCTACGGCCTACTCTTATATCGAATTCCAACTGTCAAGGGATCTTTTACGTGCACGCCAATGTGTACGCGGATCCTCGGTTTTTTGTCCCATCCGAACGACTAGACAGCTGTCCTTGTCCCTGGCTTTTAAACTATCTTAAATATAAGCTTCCGACCATTACTTTAATCTCTTTGTACCGACTGGGATTGACAGGTCACGTTAATAAGTAACACGTTTGGAATGTAAATCATGTAGATCTGATTTTAACATCCCGGTTCAGTATTTTAAAATAAACGACACAATCCCCATTATATTAGTATAGCATTTGGTTGACAGTCCAGCTGAACACAGCTATGCACAGATAACTATTATGTCCATGGTCTGGAGGACAGTCTAACTGAACACTACCGTGCTCAGATAACGATAACTATCATATACATGGTTTGGATGACAGTCTAGCTGAGAACCACCATGTACAGATAACTAGTGAGATGATGGTCTGGATGGCAGACGACTAGTATTTCCATGGTATGAGTGGCAGTCCTGCTAAACTCCACAATGTACGTATGTCTATGGTCTAGTTTGATCCCTGCATTGGTCGAGAAAGTTCATTTAGATGCCCCTTTAAAGTCAAATCTGCTAGTGACATTCATGTAGCACGCACCGTTTGTTTTTGTTTTTTTTTGTTTTGTTCGAATCTTGCCACCTGCTTATGCCTTAGCCTTATCGGTCACCATCCTCAATTATTATTACCAAATCCTCAAATCACTAAGGAGTTCATAGTTGCGCATCGCTTATCTGTCATTTAATCTGATCTGATCATGTCACAAGAGGCACTTATTTAGTAATTCGCAATATAATACCAGGACAACGACATTATACAGAACATATGTGATAATTTGAAGTGCCATCCCCTTAAACAAATGTCATGTCCTTTAAACACGTAGGGGGTTGGTTGGCCGAATGGTCTAACGCATGCGCTTCGGGATTCGGGTCCTACGGTCTGTCACTGAGTCGAATGGAGTGGTTTTGATTTCCAGCTTGTACGTGACAAGGAGTGGGGTTGCCCATTCAACCTCATGGATTTCCTCCGGGTCCTCCAGTTTTCACACACTGCTACAGAACTCTACGTGCAAGCGAACTATTTGAAAAAAAAATGAACCATATTATGTTAGTCCTGAAATTACCTAGTTTGTTTGTAGTGGGCGTTTAATCCCATCTCACTTCAATGGTTTTATTCTGCGGAAGTATTAATTAAATTGTTCCAATTGTATTTATATTAGTAGTAGGCTGAAAATAGTAATCACTAGGGAAATCGTTAGGTTAAAGATCGGGGTCAAGCTCTAAACGCCGCAGATTTGAATGACCTTTTTGATTTATAATCGCCATGTTTATAATCACATTAATACCCCACCCCCCCTTAGTGGCCTAGAAATTAACCATATCCATCAATTTAAGTTATTTTAAGTTTATCCTGGTTTCTTTTGAGTTTGAAACTGCTAATGATCTGACGTCGTTCGTTTCCCGGTTTTTACCTGACAAGTAGTAGGGCTGCCTGTTCAGCCTCGTGGGTTTTCAGGTTTCCTTCCACAGCTACAGCAGACCACGACGGGCAAGCGAATTATAGAAACAAATCATGTTAAGCGGGTATATCGCTCACTATCGGGCTTTCAAATTCCTTAAAAAGCATCCGTTTGGAAAACCGGCAATATAAATTAAACTATGCATGGGAATAGGGTTGTAACTGGTCAAACTTTGTATTGTCGTCAATCGACAATTTATAATTACAAATTGGCAGTATAGTATCATATTATAGACTGAATAGCCCTCTCCTTTTCTGGATTGTATTAGTATTATATAAGTCAGAATCATAGAAATAATTATATAAATATTTATATATTTCTATTGTCAGAATAGCGTCAAGACGTTCGAACATGTGTGAGGTAATGTAGATTAAGTTGAGAGAGGATGACCAAAGTCCACTAGCAATTATTAGTTACGTGACCATCCTATTCAAATAGAAAAAGAAATACAATAACATGATTGTTTCATGTAGCTGATCAGATAATATACAATTTGTGACGTCAATGACAGATATTTTCTTTTTCGAAATGAACCAAAAATAAATGTATGTCCACAAAAACAATAACAGGCTATAATGAAATACGAGGCCATTTTCTTTATTTGCAATCCATATATCTTCATTCCTGGCCTCGTGGGCATGTTGAATAGCAGTCCACAAATGGAATAGCCTTGTTGCACACCACATCGTTTGTGTTTAACATAGCTGAATGGACACATCACTGATCATCAAATTAAAGAAACAGACAGTTATTCATTATTGCACTTTTAGATCATTAAAGTAAATTTATAATTAATTTACAAGTTGTGCCTTTTCTCCCGGGTGCTATGAACCCTTGATACGCCTCGGAAGATTGCTACCAATTACGATTTTTAATATTTAGCTATGAAATCTCAGATAACTCTATATTGACGTCATACAGTTGTTTTTTCTTAAATACCGCGAATATTCTTTTTAGCAAATTAGTAGTCCTCTGAGAATATTTCCTTATGTTTAAAACATGTACAGCTTAATTGTATATTATAATCTGCCGAGAGGCTGATTCTGTAAGTGCTTATTATTGATCTTGACATTTACTGGCTGAACCCTCGAATGGATAAGCAGAGGTTTGATAACCAGTGTAAAATCTTTGCAGATGCGACCACCTTAAGGCGAGAGACGAACCAAAATGGTGAAGTTGGTTTCTAATATGGTTACTATCGTCAGACATTAACAACCTGAACACAGAAAATAATCTAATTGGCTCTTGGCTCCATATTAAAAAAGGAAAAACTGCTTTAAAAGTACCATAGAAATATTATTTCTGTATCGTTTTCCCCATTCATTAAACCAACTAATGATAGCCTAGTGCTTTCGCAATTTTGCTTTGGTTGTAAACAACGTTATGTGAGGCCACGTCTGGTTGGTTCCATTGCGAATTGAACTAACCCTTGATGTTTAATATTGGACATGTGACATATCTATGTCACTTTTTATGAAGTCACAGTTTTCAACAACTGTGCAGTCAAGGTTGATACCGTGATAACCGGGAAGGCGATAAGCAGGAGATCTGGGGTTCGATCCCGGGTGTTGGAATAAAAGTTCCCCCGAATTTTCCAGTGCGCTTTCCACTTGTCAGTGGTGAATGGTGGAGGCTTGGGAAAGAGCATAGTCTAGTCGATTTAACAAACCCCCATTATCACCAGTGCACGCTGGCATGCACTGTCCAAGAGCCCGTGACAGTTTGAATTGAAGAAGACTGCGGAGCAAAAGGCCGGCTGTTCGACTTCAGTAATACGGTTGGTGCAGAAAACCCCATTTCAACATTGTCAACATCAAATAAACAAACCCAAATCAAAATATCCCTTTTCAGGATGTCCATATTATTTCCATTGTATACTTTTATACGTTTTGTATTCATACCGGTATTCTAAATCAAGTAAGCAACAGTTGCGGGGAGGATGACTGTACAGCATCGTAATTAACTGAATCAACTTTTTAAACAAGAATGACAATCAGAGTACTTATATAAACTGCCATTGGGTGTTTTTGCATGGCTGTAAAGGGTGATAATTATTGAAATCAACTTTCAAATCAAGTAAGCTGCATGCCAACATACTCCTCGTCGCGTTTCGTTTGATTAGACCTAATCGCACTTAACACTGGTGTAATGGAAGCAAATTTCTGTTCCAAATTATGACTGGTCAATAGTCCGATTAACAACCAATAGCTAACTGCTTAAAAACATAACGTTACGTCATGACTCAGGAAACATTACCCCCAATTAACCAGTGCATAGCAGAATATTGCAGAAAAAACTAATTGCGTGACAAACGAGGCTATCAAACGGCTACAATTTAAACAATACTGTTTGGAGACGAATAATACTTTCACCGTTTTTAATACCTTAAATCACTGTTCAAAGGTTTAGGGAAGACCTCAGATTACACCAAGGGCTGTCATGTTGCTGTACTTGGGACATATTTGATCAGAAGTCAATCCAGCAATGGCCAGAGAGGGAATGCTCGGGCCATTGCTTCAAGAATACCCATGCCAATGGATGATGGTTCTTGGGTGGCTGTAAAAGGCGGTAATTCGTGAAATTCAACTTCGTGAACAAAACACTGTATTCTAAATTTTATATATTTTATTTTTAATTTTTTTTTTTGTTTTTTTACATTTTTTATCAAGTTCGAGGAAGACATTTTATATCTTATTATTTTTCTCCAAAATAAGCCATTTGTTGTACAAGCCATTACATATAAATACTATGTTTAAAAAAGTTTATAAAACATTCATAATACAATTTAATCACCAGTCAGTCATACCTTATGAATAAAAATATATTGATACATACATAACAATACTTATTTGTAATTAACAACTTTAATAAGTATTTTCAAAATCTTATTAATACTACATGTAGGTAATAAATAACATACTTATTGAAATAATCTGATTCCAAATAAAAGTAATACCATTTAATAATTGAAGCTGGCCGACTACATTTTCTTATTATAGAATAAAAATTATAAAATCCTATATTACTTATTTGTCTACACCACTGAGGACATTATTACGAAAATACAAGACTCAATTCTAGTGAACAATACTCATGATATTGCTTATCCTTGTAGGGGTCTCTGACCCAAGAATTATAATTTTAGTAAGTCGTGGACAAAGGTCCATTAAGTCAGAAATTGTGTTAGTCGGTTATTAAACTCAGACTTGATTCTAGGAACATTTTTTCTTGCGCGAGAACACATATAAAAATCACTCTCCGAAATTCGAAAAAACACGAAACGTATATTCAAACAGAATGTTACGAAAATCTATTGTAAGAATGTTTCGAAAAATACAAAATGTTAAAATCACAGGAATGTCAGGCTTAAAGTAGCACACCCAATGTCATTGTTTTTGGGGAATAAGCAGCAGAAGTCTTCCATATAGCACAATGAATAAAAAGTCACGATTTCAATCTACGCGGAACCAACATCTTGAAGAAATATCGATCAAATAGTTAGACGCCATGATGGATTAGAACGATGGTGGATGGATAATGTTTCATCTTCGGTCACAGATTAAACCTGAAATTGACAAGAAACAAGATATTAAACAGTGTGACAAATTGTCTGACTTTTCAAAATGATGAATCAGGATGAATCAATCTTAAATGTTACTAAATTAGAAATATATTTAATTTAAATAGTTGATGTTATTGATTGACACGCTAAATATGTATTATTCATTCTAGAAATGTCATTTAAACGATGGAGCACGCCAAATATGGAACTATTTTATTAAAATGTTTTAAGTGTGTTACTCACCATAACATGAATGATGTTACTACGTCATGCAATGTCTGAGAATGACGTCATGAATATGGCTTCTGCAAGGACGGAGTGGTAGAACTATCAGTAAAGTATTCATCTCGAGTTGCATTGCGAATTGTAGATTGTCTGGACTGCATAGCTCTGTTATTCTTGAAAAGTAGTTTCTTGATTTAAAACGCCAATAAGTTATTGCAGGATCTGGATTTATGAGTGTGTAGATTGAGAAATTTGGTGAAGAGAGCAAGGGCTTTTCTTGGAGATGTGAGCTTATCTGAGCAAGATTTGATGGAATGGCGGCGGCTATTTTTCTTTTCTTCTGATGGTGGGCTGAGTTTAATGCGAATCTGTTTTAGGCTGGCAACCAACAGATCGTCTACATGATGATTTAACACTGCCGATGTTTCTCTGTAATCACAATCGTATTTGATAGCAAAATCTCGAGCTCCTGGAAAATAAAAAAAACCCCAGAAAATCAGATGAGGAATATTGATTTTTGTTCAACCATCGTTTTTACTCAACTCCACATAAACCTTCTTAACTTCAATATCTAGTTTAAAAATAGTAACAATTTCAATTCCCTTCGGATTCGTGTAATTACTTCAATCGATGTAGTTATTGAATGTTTTGATATTGATTGCTAAAGGAAGAAGTTTTCTCCAATCCCCAAGACATCTCTAGCTAGCACATTAGTTTAAGTGGGTTACTGATATTCAAACATGGGATAAAATTAGTCCATGTCCTTATTGAATAATTCTCGTTAAAAGAACCGGAATAACCCTTTTCATATGGATTTATCTTAGATCGTAAGCGCGAATTTGCCTTATTATTTATTCTTGGTTTAAATCGTGCCTGATGGCCTATCTGTCTAACTGCAAGACCTTAAATTTAGGACCTCGTCGCAGAAGAGAAATTAGTTTTCCTGTCGTGATTTCCTTGACTGGTTTTAGATTTGTATTCACAAAATCCAGGATTTTCCTCTTCAGTATATAAAGAATTAATTACCATAAGTAATTAGTAGATGAAGAGTACAATACTTTATTCTTATTTTAATCCTAAAAGAAAAATAAAATCACGAAAACGTGGGCGCAAAATTCAAACTTACCTTTTGCTGTTACTTTTCGTTGTCGAACCAAATCAATCTTGTTTGCAACTAGCAAGATAGTCCTGTCTGTTCCCATAGTAACACGAAGATGTTGGATTAAGCTAGTGGCCGCCACAAAAGAGGAATAATCCGTGATGGAGAAGGCTACGATGAAGGCATCGACGTGCAAGTTTTCTAAATCTGTAACCTGCAATAAATAAATGTTTAGAGATTAGTTCACCGTTTGAGTGGCCGAATGGTTAACGCGCGCGCATTGGATCATAAGGTCTGTCACCGAGTCATGTTGGCTTTTGTCGATTCCCCGCCTATACGTGACAAAGAGTATGGTCGTATGCCCATCCAAGTGGGCTTTTTCCGCATCCTCCAGTTTCCTCCCACTGCTGAAGTCCCCTACGCAAGGGGATTGTTGAAATAAAATGGAATCATGTGTTAGTCCCGAAGAGAAATAGTTTTTGTCGAGTGGACGTTACCCCCTCTCTCATTTAACCCAACATTATTAAATCTTTGAGACTGGTTCTGGCTCTACTCACAAATGACACTAACTATTCTATCACACGTCTTGACATTTCGTTCTATTGGTTATTACTTTGCTTCAAATGCAATTAATTAACACTTGTTCTATTTTTGACATTCTCATAAAATAATTGTCTATGGAAAGGTCACAGGTCCCTAATAAAAAAACAATACATGCAACCAGTAGCAGGAATGTCCACTCGTTAAATACAACTATAATTCAATCATACCTGTGGATCCTCAGTAAATTCCATAATAGATTCCTCTCCATCCAATAACACTGATACTGTGGTATCTTGTTCTTCATTCTCGGCTGTAAAAAAACCAAAAAAAAAACTCTTATTAAAATGATTGAATCTAAACAAGGTTCAAGTTTATGTAAATTGTATTAAAACGCATTTTGATTTTAAAAACAGAATGAAATGTCAAAGGTTGTCAGAACGATAATTTACGAATATTAACCCCCATAAGGACCTGTGTTTGCATTTCGGTTTAACAATAAATTATCATTGTTGTCCAAGGTTGTTAGCCCGATATATATTACAATAAACTCACACAAAACATGTTGTTTTATAGGATTTTAAGTATGCAAATATCGTTAAAACATGATATAAAATTGTATGTATATGAAATAAACATGTACTGTATTCTGAACATCTGTGAAATAGTGTTGTTTGTGTTCTACTTTCAATTTGAGTCCTATTTAAACACAAACATATACATGAAATATCTTCTGTTGAAAAATCAATGAACGTATTAGCTCACATTGTATACTTTCTGGTAAAGTTAAGTTATTTTGACGCATTTTCAATAACATTTCTGAAGTTAATGTTTAAAAAAAAAACAGATTCGAAATTCCATTACCTAATCGATTTTAATGACTTGTTTACGCAGTGAAGCATTATTTTATCTTAATGGATGGCGCGATCTATAATTAAATATTAAATCTCTTGGAATCCAACAATGGTTCATTATTAAAATAACTTAACAATTTATAATTATGCATCAGTATTTTTTCTTCACTCAATTTATTGTATTTTTATCCATTTATCATGCATTGCCTGACCAGCGGCTTATTACCGGGCATACACTAAGCTTGTTTTTATGCTTTTGGTTAATAATAATTATTGTTTCAAAAATAAATCTATAAATAGAAACAGGAACCACACATCGGTAATGATTTCGCTTGACACTAACCAGGTCATTTCGGAACCAAAATGTTATACCAGGAACTAACGTGTTATGTCATATTTCAATAATTTGTTTGGACAGATAAATTGCAGTACATGTAGGCTTGCAACAGCATATAAATTTCATCAACAACTAGACATCCAAATAATTAGGTACTTTTATGAACAGGTAATTGTGACCTGGGGTCAAACGGGGGTCGTTTTATTTACCGATTTGTTTAAATGAATTTTAAAATGGATCACAAGTTAATTTTTGTTTTTATGACCTCTTAACCGTTTTTCATATAATTCCAAGCAAAACTAATATATATTTTTCCAAGTTTCATTCACAAATTTTAATTTTCACGCAAGCTGTTTTCCGTGTGACCTCTAGAAAGCATTGACTCTCATAAGGTCTAATTATATTCATTTTAGAGTAATGTTATCAAGAAACAGGTGTAGACTATTGAATAAATAAAACATGCTGCTATATTGAATATAACGGATTTTAGTTTATTCGATAACTCCCACACAAAGACATCTGTTCTTTGCCCTATCGTTATGTTAGTGTATTTAGCGTACGGATTCTGATTTTAAGAAATAAAATGTGAACATGAAACGTTAATACAACTAATTTAAAGTAAGGGTAACTTACGTGTTGTTACGTCATATCCCACATATTCTGATGTTAAAAACTGTCTTGAGATAGCAGATTTTCCTACACCATTGCTACCAATTAACGCCACACGGAAATATGAAGGCACCCAGGACACCCCACTATTTGTTTGACTGTCCTCGGAGGTTATACTAGATGATCGTTGTTTTTCATAGTCTGTTACAGTGCTTCCAGACGACATTAGACTGTTCGTACTATGTCTTTTAAAAGAGTCCCCGTTGTTTTCTACGCCCTTTGCTGTAGTTCTGAAAGATCGGATGCGACATATTCTTTCGTCGATGCTGGAATATTCATTGTAATCCATGTGTGGCACTGCAAGATGGTGTGATTGACAATTCGGCATGCTGTTGGTTCTGGGTCGCGGTGACGAAAGAACTTCCAGATTATTTGGTCTCTTTTTGAAAGAACAGGATCGTGAATGCGGTGCTGACGATACTTCTCTCGCTGGTGATGAAACACTCAAATATTCTGGCATAGTAATAGGCACGGTGTGAATTAAACACAAAATAATCAAAGGAAAATAATAGCCACTGGTACTATCAACTTAGCTGTAGCAGTAGTAGTAGTATCACGTCGCTCGTAAGTTAGCATAAGCGATAGCAAAATTGTTTCTGATTACAACCTGCTAACCATTCCTTTTATATTGTCGTCGAGTTCCTAAACCACGTGTTGATGTTATTCATAGGGCGGCAAAATAACGTCATTTCTTCTACTTGTCACTGATTGGCTGAATCATGCGAACGGCATGTATTGATCTGTAGCTATGACCCAGACTAAGGAGCAGTATTATTATGTATTAGGACTAACTAAGGATGGCTTATGTATTTTATTTACCAAAGTTTAATAACTGTAAAGAACAACAAGACATTTCTAAATTAAAACATATGATATAATATACACACGGGCTTATTTGTCGCTAGATTTGTCGGGGCTTGAAAATTAAAATAGACACGCCTTTAAAATTTTAATCATCCTTCTGGTCGATATAAACATAGCTTTAGTACTACAACGTTGTTATTCATAGACATTGTCATGCTTAGGCATCTAGTAATAATGCACAAAGGTGTGTTATGTTATTGATTTGAAATTAATAATGCACATAATAGGGCGTGTACTGTGATTAAATCATGATGCATTCTGGTGTATGCAATAATCGCTGACGTCATAGAACGGGTGCACATACATGTATTAGTGCACTTCATCACCAAACAGAACTTATATTCAACATGCTGTAATTGTATGCATAATAAAACAATATATTGACTGCTCTTATCTCGTGTACTCTGATGTAATTGTTACTACTAGTGAATATCGGGTTCGCAAATTGTATGTGCAAAATCTGATAAATTGGAGAAATACACGGCATATCTTATTTATTTACAAACTGCTAACTGGTGTAATCACCACCAATAACAATCACAACATTATATCAAATTTATCTGCATTATTGGACAATAAACTATCATTTTATAAAATATTATAAAATATCGGAAACACCAACCCAGACGTTAATGATTGATGTGCATAATATTATAAACAAAAGCTCCAACCTCGTGGGTTTTCTCCTGGTCCTCCGATTTCCTCCAACTCCTAAAGACCCCTACGCGAAAGCGAATTATTAAAAAAAATTTGAACCGTGTGTTAGTCCCCAAATGACCTAATTTGTTACCCCCCCCCTCTCTCTCTCTCTCTCTCTCTCTCTCAACAAAAGCAAGTGCACCCGAGGGAATGATAATTACTATTTGATTTAAAGGTACGTCTTCACACAGAACCCCTCCTTCTAGCTGTACCGACCTTGATAACTTATTAAGATAATAAGCTCGATTCATCGAGATGACATATCATATAGGTAAGTATAATAAGTACACATGTATTTCTTAACGTAATAAACATTGTACTTACTACACCTAACATGTTTGTTTTGTGATCTTTGGCAGTTCCCTTACCTTTTAAACAGATGGTAAAGAAGAGGGAACGTATTACATATGTTTAACCTAATTCCATTTCCTAAAGAACTGCAATAACCATGGCTAGATGTACCCACTCACCTCTTCACTAAAACACCTTTCTACCTTTACCATTGTTTGTATATATATATATATATATATATATATATATATATATATATATATATATATATATATACTGTATATGTAGCATTGTGTGTACCTGTTGCTTCAACCGTACTTATCCATGAACTGTAGTCTTGAATTCATTCATGATTCCCCATGAAATATGTTTCTGCTAACGTACCGTTATACCTAACCATTTTCAGTTTTGCGTCCCTTTCGAAGGCGTACACGGTTTGTCGTGCCAGAGAGTTCATAAGAGTCAAATATAATGGGATTTAACGTCCTACGTTTCTGCACCCACTGAGCAAATGAAGACGGGCGTACGTTATACAGTATGAGGGAAATTTTGCCCGGACAGTGATGCTTTGAGCTTTGAAATACTCTTATATCGAACTGTTAAGGGTTCTTTTACGTGCGTGTTATCGTCCCATACGATTATACAAGAAGAAAAACTGAAGGTGCAAACTGAGTGATGCTATCGTCTGCTTACTCATATGTAATATTTTTTTTTCGGAAATGGTAACTGGTGTTCATTAAGGCGTTCGTCATAACCTAAAACCAGTTCGACAGATACCTCTACGACTAGTGGATCCAACAATTACACCCCCTCCCTGTCCCAATTATATTTAAGTGTCTTATTTACCCAATCGTTATTACTATAATAGTTCACAAATAATGAACGATTAACATATTGACAATTTCATACAAATCAATTTATTCCGAGCGAAATTATGAGCGGTTTAAGGTTTGACAAGATGTAACGTCGTATGACAAGATGTAACGTAGATTGTTCATTATTAAATTCTTAAAATATCGCGGGTGTTCTCATTCATTTGAATCTCTGCAATCCGGTGTTCTAGAAAGTTGACATAGGTTTGACATGTAAATGAATGTCTAAATAATCATTTATATAACATTTGAAGCCAAAATAAAGACATGAAATATTCCGATTTACATTATACATAACGCATCTATTAAGCACAACCAGGAACGTATGTTCAGAATAGAATTCTGAAGTCATTTGCAAAATCGAAAACTTTTGTCATCCATTTAAAATAAAGGGGATTTACTGAAACTACATGATTTAAACTAATTGGTTATGTTATCACATAAAAGTTTCTTGAAACATCATTATTCGGTGTTATTATATAAATGACTTCACTCTCCTTCTAAATTTATAACTTTTCTGTTCAATCAAACAGAAAAAAAACGTAATACAATAGGATACTGAAAATAGATTTGATTACAATCGACTGTTTAAAGATTCATAAATATATCTAGATTAGAATAAATAAGATATCTGATTGTGGAATTTCTGATCACTTGTATGAAGACAAGGACCTGATGTATTAATAGCCGGTCGTTTAACTTGCTTGAACTATCTAATAAACCCAGACAAAGGTTGTTTACAGCGAATGGGAGAATTTGTGAAAATCCTGCGTTAAGACCATGATCAGACACAAATATTGGCCTTTTTATGGAATTTTCTGTATAATACATATTGCGAGCGCAGGGGCGGATCCAGAGGGGGTGGTATGGGTTGGGGGGTCGACCCCCCCCCCCCCCCTGCTCGGCTACATAAATTGTTTTGTAAATCAACGCTTTTTATGAGAAAGGATTCTCGGCCGTGTGCTTTATCCTTTATCGTCAGAGTTGGAACAGGATGGACACTCAAAGCACGGAGATAATGATATAGACATTATGCGATATCACAATTAATGCTTTGCATCCATGAAATTGAATCACAAAGTCATTGTATTAATTCATTATAAAAATTGACGTCAAACGAGGTGTTGAATTTCTCTGTTTAAAAAGCTCAATGTGTATGTATATACGCCAAAATGACGATAGAGACCAAGCGGGAGAGGGGGGGGGGAGATACATTGTCTCAGGAACATGACCCCCCCCCCCTGCAAAAATTCCTGGATCCGCCCCTGTAGCTAATCCGTGTAAGATAATTAAGCTATGTTCAGTTATTTTATATAGACGACATATAGTATGTCGTGTGTTTTATCTCACTTGATAACCTTATCTTTTTTTAGATTTTACTCTGTCCTCAAGCATTAAATAATTATTGTGGCTAGAAACTTTATATAATGTCCAAAAGAACAGTGGATCTTACGTATTTATGTTATGGCTATATATATATATATATGTATATATATATATAAAAGCACTTAACCAACCTCGACCGTCTCACTCGGTAGGCTACGAAGATTCTTTTATGCACGGAAAAGTGAGCTCTAGGGTTCAACGACCCCCCAGGAAATATTTCCATTGAGTACAAATATTGTTCATTACTGTCATTGAGTCATGTTTTTGTCATTTCGATTACAGGCTTATAGTGAAAAGAAGTTCGCCTGTCTAGCCTTGTGGATTTCTTCCTGGTCCCTCAGTACCTATCCACTTTTAACGACCCCTATTGATGCAAACCCAAACCATGTGTTAATGTTAGTCCCGAAATAACATACTGTGTGTTATGTGGACGTTAAAATTAGAAAATTCGTGTTTACTTTGAGGAAAGATGTACTAAAAAATTTTCATGGATATGGAATAAATCTGTATTTTTTTTTTTTTTTGTAGTGGTTTTTTTTTTTTGGGGTGGGGGGAGGGGTATATAAAAACACAAACTTCAAGCTCGCTTTACATTTATTCATTCATTGCCTTATTTTAACGGATTCGCCTTAATTGTTTACAAAAAACATCTCTTTTCAGTTGTGCTGACAATACACAAAATTTATATGTAAACATGAAATGGGGTTTAACTTCCTAGATGTCTGCACCAACTGGGCTAACGAAGATGGGCATACACCATGCAATGTGCTATGAGGCAATATTTGCACCGTCTACTCTTTATCGAATTCCGTCGCTCGGATGGGACGAAAAAAACGAGGTCCCGCGCATACATTGGCGTCACGTAAAATTCTATATAAGGGTAGGCCGTAACGCTGCTTTCCGGGCAAAATTTCCCTCGTAGCACACTTTATGCCCGTCTTCATTAGCCCAGTCGGAGCAAAGTAGTAGGACGTTAAACCCCATTTCATTTCATTTTACATTATTTCATCCAATTCGAAATGGCTAGAATTCTTTAACATGCGCGCCAACGTATACACTTGACTCAAGTTGTTCGTGATTTCCGAAAGAATAAACGCTGTTCGTGTCCTCACATTGGTAGGGGGGGGGGGGTGATGGCTGAATGCTTAGCGCGTGCGTGCTGTATCATAAGGTCTATCATTGGGTCAACTGGCGTAGTTTCCGATTCCCCGGTTGTTCGTGACAAAGAGTAGAGAGAGAGAAATGGGGTTTAACGTCCACTCGACACAAACTAGGTCATTTTGGGACTAACATATGGTTTAATTTTATTTCAATAATTCGCATGCGCGTAGGGGTCTTTAGCAGTGGGAGGAAACCGGAGGACCCGGGGAAAACCCACGAGGTTGGACAGGCGACCCTACTCCTTGTCACGTACAACCAGGGATTCGAAGACAGGGAGTAGGGTCGCCTGTCCAACCTCGTGGGTTTTCTCCGGGTCCTCCGGTTTCCTCCCACTGCT